CAAGTTATCGGGGACTATATAGAGGAAATTAAAATTTCAGCAATGAAGTCATTCCCGGTCTTTACAGGCCAAAAAGATTACTAAACAGATCGGTTTCTTTATCTAAGATTGAATTCAATCGCCTTCCTGACTGTTAAAACAGTGTTAAGCCCACAGCTATAATGTTGTTGGAAGTTGGCGATTTTGATTGATGCATAATGAAACGTTGAATAACCAAATGGATGATCTTAATGTATTTCCCCGAAGCCTCGTCTACAATTCTTTTGTACATGGTCACTACAGCACAACATTTTAAAGTCGGTTTTTAACTCAGCAGTAATGATTTTATCAAGTTAAAGTTCCACGACAAACCTCCACAGTTGGTTTTATCGGCAAGTAGCGCCATTCCAATTGGACATCGACAAGTATAACCATTGGGTATTAGTAAACACAGATGTGAACACGATGAATTGGCGCAGTAGTTAATACCTACAAACAAACATTAATTAATTTTATTGTGATTTAGAACTAGAATAGAGTGATCGCACTTAATCCGTGCAACTGTACAAACTAAATAGTTCTATTTAGTTGTATTTAGTAAATCGTGCACTCGGTACGCAAATTAAATTGAATTGATTCAAATGAAGCATTCAATAACGTCTTGCTTCAGGTCCACTTTTAGTACAAATTAATACAACTTAGATTTTGTACAGTTGCACGCTTTAAGTGCGATCACTCTACAGACACTAAAGCTGTGCAACATAAATACCACTAAATACTGCTAAACAATGCAAAATCTATTGTTTTCTGTTTGATTAGCACTATTTTGTAGTAAATATAGTGGAAAGTGTTTGCACTCTACTAATATCATATGAGGAATGCGGCACAATACCTTCCGGTTGTCGTAGAGGATGAACAACATGGATATCCATGGGTTTCAACAATCCAGTGAAGAGAGATTTCAAGCCCCCACCATCCATTTTATGAGCACGCCATACATTCTTTTTCCAATCTGTCCAATACAACGAGTCTTCAAACATTGTTAGAGCAAATGGATGCTGGTTGATGTTATGATAGTTAACGACCACTTGACGATTGCTGCCGTCATAATTACAGAACTCAAGTACAAGATGCGCGGCATCTATCCAATAAACACGCCTAGAAGCAATCACAATAAGATAAGATGGAGCCACATGGCAGATATAAATACAGTGCAGGAACCCCATTTTTACGACCACCAAGTTATAATTGACGGCCAAACCTTCAATACCTTTCTACCTGGTTATTTAATGCCTCTACCCCGTTATTACGGCCACCTTTTCTTAGGTGTTCGGATTAATGAGGTTTTACTACAACTACCAGAATGCTTTGCCAACTTTCTTTTGTAATGCAATTAGTGCCAATTGTTTTATTAATCTCCAAGGGGATTAAAAATCTGAATAACAATGAAAATGCGCAAGGCACTCTGATAGTTGTAGTTAAGTTACGCCATAATGCATATGGCCTATTAACGAGCTCTCACTGCATAAAGATCATTTGACATAAGTCTGGTCATTCCCTTCAAGATACGATGTGTTTTCCTGTGAGATGAACTACTGTCTTGAGTAGACTAACTTTAGTATTTTTCGCTTAGAGTCTTCATATATTATTTACATAAGGGACATTTAAAAAAATCACCATTTGTTAAATAAGGGGCAGGGTCTGATAAGAACGAGGAAGGCAGGATGTGATATAAATAACCTGTTAGCAAAGTCCAGAGTCAAACCGTTAGGCCACCGGATACTTTTGCTGACCAATTGCATTCTGTTGGTTCCATCTAAAGAAGATCGTTCAACGCGTGATGATCCCCAATCTGTCCAGAACAAATACCTAAACAATAATACAAAGTGATACACAGATTTAAAGTATTAGAATGATCGTTGCTTGGGTTTTACTTAAAATGCACAGAGAAAAAAAAACTCTTTTACCAAAGGAGACGATATATCAACCGACCTCAACGGCCACCCGCTTAATACGGCCATTCGGTTTTAGACGTCGGTGAATTGCACCATGCCATAATGACGTCACAGTATGTTTACATTGTGAGTAGATGCTCAGAAAGACTCGAAATTTGGATCTATTAACATTCTTTCCAAAAGTAGAACTTAAGTGTATCGAGTTTTGATGTATATTATTTATCAATGATTTCTCATCTACATTTTATGTGATATGCAGTCACTCTGATCCCCTCTGGTGACCATAATCCTTAGCGTTAGAAAAATAGATTTTTTGGGGGTGTGACGTAGCACACGATAGGGCAATTAATCCGTCTTACTTTTCTACCCGGTTACGCCCACTTTTCGATGTCGCTTTAGTGACCGTAATACGCCTATAATAGTTTTATTTCAAGGACGACAGGAACTCACCCATCCCTTGGATCGACGACCAGTCCTCTGGGTTTCTTTAGGTCATCTGACACCAAGATATTACGCCATTTCCCATCAAGCGTTGCGACCTCAATCCGATCTGCTGTCATGTCTGACCAGTATAAACGCCGTCCGATCCAGTCCACTGCGACCCCTGATTATATTCAAAATAGGTAAATAACTCGTGTGAGTACAAATTGCAGGAAACAATCGTCATTTCGCTGCAAGCTGTCTTGACGCACAGATCATGATAACAAAGGCGTTTTACGTTCGAGTGTTGTACTTCGAAAGGTAAGAAACGCTCGATTTCAACATTGTCAAGTCTATGTCTCTACTGTTTTGAATATTATTCATGACGGAGACAGTCCCTACAGAAAGCCTCGAAGATTTGTATCGCCACTCGCCGCCTGCACCGGGTGGCTGGTAGCATATCATAAATTCTATAATACAAAATGTGCAGCATACCTTCGACCGAGATTGTAATTTCCCATACAACACGGCCGCTCATGTTGTAAACATTACTTATCGCGATTAGTTTGTTGTATGGAATCATGAACATTTGTAAATATATATAAAACTCCAACACAAATTAACATGAATTACAGTGAGATAAATGACGAAAAATGACTAATAAGGTAACTGCTGAGTTTAGTCCCTATTAAGCATGCGCAATTTACTGCAACACAGAACATTTTGAATAATTATCCATCCCACATGGAAAGCAAGCCATCTGTTGCATAAGCGAGTTCTGTTATCCGTCTTTGATTGCTTCAAAACCTAGTGAAGGTCTATGATGCGACACTAAAACTGAGACCTTTGCTAGTGTGGGTTGTCTCAATGGTGACGACCGTGTTGTAAATCTGATACAACACTAGTGGTTGTATCAGATTTACAAGGTTAATCACCTGATTAAATGGTCAGCCCTTATTGGAGCAATAGCTTATGCATTATTAATAAGTTTTATAAAAGTCGTTTACAACATTTGCGTCCGTGTTGTATGGGAATTACAATCTCTAGCCTGCGGCTCGAGATTGTAATTCCCATACAACACGGCCGCTCATGTTGTAAACTATACACAAAATATCAATAGATTGAAAATTGAAATTGAATTGAGAACTACTGATATCACAGGAATGCGGCACAATACCTTCAGGTTGTCGTAGAGGATGAACAACATGGATATCCATGGGTTTCAGCAATCCAGTGAAGAGAGATTTCAAACCTCCACCATCCATTTTATGGGCACGCCATACATTCTTTTTCCAGTCTGTCCAGTACAACGAGTCTTCAAACATTGTTAGAGCAAATGGATGCTGGTTGATGTTATGATAGTTAACGACCACTTGACGATTGCTGCCATCGTAATTACAGAACTCAAGTACAAGATGCGCGGCATCTATCCAATAAACACGCCTAGAAGCAATCACAATAAGATAAGGAGGAGCCACATGCCGCACATATATAAATACAGTGCAGAAACCCATTTTTACGGCCATCCATTATAATTAACAGCCAAACCCCCCATACATTTTCTGCCTGGTTGGTTAATGCGGCTACCCCCTTATTACTGCCTCCTTTCGATGTCTCTTAGGTGTCCGAATTAACGAGCTCTCACTGCATAAAGATCATTTAACATAAGTCTGGTCATTCCCTTCACGATACTATGTGTTTTCCAGCCTGTGAGATGAACTATTGTCTTGAGTAGACTAACTTGAGTTCTTTTTCGCTTTGAGTCTTCATATATTATTTACATAAGGGCCATTTTTAAAAATCACCATTTGTTAAATGTCTACATGCGACAGGGTCTGATAACAAGGGGAAAAGCAGGATGTGATATTAATAACCTGTTAGCAAAGTCCAGTGTCAAACCGTTAGGCCACCGGATATTTTTGCTGACCAATTGCACTCGGTTGGTTCCATCTAAAGAAGATCGTTCAACGCGTGATGATCCCCAATCTGTCCAGAACAAATACCTAAACAATAATACAAAGTGATACACGGATTTAAAGTATTAGAATGATCGTTGCTTGGGTTTTACTTTGAATGCACAGAGAAAAAAAACTCTTTTACCAAAGGAGACAACATATCAACCGACCTCAACGGCCACCCGCTTAATACGACCATTCGGTTTTAGACGCCGGTGAATTGCACCAAGACATAACGACGTCACAGTATGTTTACATTGTAGATAGATGCTCAGAAAGACTCGAAATTTGGACCTATTAATATTCTTTCCAAAAGTAGAACTTTATTGTATCGAGTTTTGATGTACATTATTTATCAATGATTGTCCATCTACATTTTAATTGATATGAAGTCACTCTGATCCCCTCTGACGACCATGATTCTTAGCGTTAAAACAATAAAATGTTTTGGCGTGACGTAATTATACGATAAGGAAATTAAACCGTCATACTTTTTGACCTGGTATGTGCGTCCACCTGGTTAGTACACCCACTTTTTGATGTCCCTTCAGTGACCGTAATACACCTATAATAGTTTTATTATAAGGACGGTATAAGCTCACCCATCCCTCGGATCGACGACCAGTCCTCTGGGTTTCTTTAGGTCATCTGACACCAAGATATTACGCCATTTCCCATCAAGCGTTGCGACCTCAATCCGATCTGCTGTCATATCTGACCAGTATAAATGCCGTCCGATCCAGTCCACTGCAACCCCTGATTATATTCAAAATAGTTAAATAACTGGTAAGATTACAACTCGCAGGAAACAATCGTCAATTCGCTGCAAGCTGTCTTGACGCACAGATCATGATAACAAAGGCGTTTTACGTTCGAGTGTTGTACTTCGAAAGGTAAGAAGTGACTAACACTCGCTTTCAACATTGTCAAGTCTCTGTCTCTACTGTCTTGAATATTATTCATGACGGAGTCAGTCCATACAGAAAGCCTCGAAGATTTGTATCGCCACTCGCCGCCTGCATCGGGTGGCTGGTAGCTTATCATAAATTCTATATTACAAAATGTGCAGCATACCTTCAACTGTATGGAGACCTTCCGTGATTAAATCCTCTTGACCAGTGCCATTTAAAAAGCTTCTACTGATAGTACGTCTTGATAAATCAGCCCAGTAAAGTCTTTGCTCTTTCCAATCAAAGTCTATCCCAATAGCACTAACCAAATCACGTATATACACTGTAGTGGTCAAACCAAGGGGGATATCTATCTTCTGTATTGCATTTCGAGTCGAAAAGTACAAGTAAGGAACAATGTCACCTTGAAAAGAGAGTCAAGCAAACATTTACTGCGGCACTATTATTAGGCCCCAATTCTGGACAAAATGGTCGAGAAAATACACTCGCGTGCCTATTCCCGATAGATACATCTTGATATCTTTATGAAATATTGAAGAAAACTGCAACATCCTTCCGCCATTTCAGTGTTGGGCTCCGAATGGATGATCGCAGGACGAGCGTAGGGAATATTCTCAACTCTTTTTGTCCGGGATTGTAGAAACGTCAACAAGCGAGAAAAATGGTATAGTAACGAGAAAGGCAAAACCTACGACCACACCTTTTACATGGCGTTTGGTTCGCATTGTTTCATTTGTACATAAAGACATTTTAAACAGTTGAATACTATAGGTAGTGTACTCAAATACCGAAATGCACTGTTGTTCATTCGCTCAAAAGGAGTTTTTGATTGACTTCCCCGATAAATATAACAGTAGAATTAGTGATATAGGTCTATTACACAGATGGGTTACCTGTGGCTTTGCAACCCCGCCTGTCATTCATCAGTTGGTAGCCCTTAACACATCTACAAGCAAATGAGCCTTTCAAGTTGTAACACCGCTGACTGCATGTTGACACAAATTTGCATTCGTCTACGTCAAGGCACGTTGTGTTATCAGCAGCCAGCTTAAACCCCGTATAACAAAAACATTGTACACCTGTATGGGAGATAAGAAAAGGAACAGTTTACAGATATTTTAAGATAGGGTAACTCTAAAAGTGATACGCAATGGGCATAGTTTTTATACTCACTTGAAAAAATAAACAACAACAACAACAACAACAGTAATAAACGCAATGGTAAGCGACACTATTTCCTTGAGCAATTAATAGTAAATGTCCGAAACGTCAGCAAGTTGTTTCACCTATCTTTTTACGGTGTTAAATTTATCTTTTTACACTTGGTAAATGTAGGGTTTTTTTGTGTGTGTGTTTTAGATTCTTCGTAAAAATGCTTGTAGTTTTTGCCGTTTCTGTAAATCACTATTTTTTTGTGTTAAGTATCTTAGAGAGTATCATTTTAGACATAAAAAGTGAACCGACAAGGCTTTTGCAATAGGCAATGTGCAGTGACGCCATTTTGTACAGCAAAGCATGATGGTAACAGTAGTCCTCGGTATTTTTTATGTTCGCTAAAACAGTCCTCCTTAGCAGTTTTTGCTCTTTCTAATCAAAAATAGAAGTAGTTTTRCCGTTTCTATCAAGAAAACATAAAAACGACTCTTACGGAGATACTTTAGAGTCTCTAGTAAGTACGAGTACTACAACCACCATAATGCTTTGCTGCACAAAATGGCGTCACATTGCGATAATTAATATATCATAATCAATTACCTCCAGGAATATTCATACAGCCTTGCGAGCATCCACCATTTTTTTCATGGCATCCAGATATACCACATCCTGGTCCTTCATCGCTCGTATCGAGACAGTCAACCTTGTCATCACAAACTTGACTTTTGCGGATGCATGTTATGCCGTCATGGCAACGCCACTTGTCACTTGGACACSGTGGACGGGTAGTTGGAGGTGGTGAACCTGAAATGTTACAATTTATTATTGTTGGGTCTTATGTTTGAATAACTTTATCATTGACAAGTTTTGGACTGGTTAGGTCTTTCTTGTAAAAATAGTTCCAATACACAGAACGGCAGGAACATGTATTTCTCTTGTAACTAACAAACGAGCGTAGTGAGTGGAGAGTGAGAGAGAAATAATTTCCTAAGCGACGTAAGGACTGGCACTATTGTGCACGTGACATTATGTAAATAGGAGCTGTGTGTATATATGGATGAAGCGATTTCAGTTAGACTATTGGTTGTTCAGTGTTCTAAGTTCGTGGAAGGAATTTGTTATGATGTAGAAGAAGTTTTTTGCAATAAAAAATATTGGTTGCAGGCTTAGACCGTCCACTTCATACTGTGTACTATGTGTTGTTCCTAGTTATCTGGGGAAGTGAGGACAGTAGGAGCACTAGGAAATCTCCTTTCTTCATACATCTCGCTCWAAAGTTTTGCACAAGCACTAAGCTTTCCCTCCTTTAAGCGCTTCTTTCCCTCCAAAAKAKAAWGTAAMACAATAAACAAAAATGCTACAAAAGCGTATTAGAGCCTCACCACACTTGGTCTCATCAGAGCCATCGGCACAATCCACCGCTCCATCACAAGCCCAGTTCACAGGGATRCACTGCYTGTTRGCACAGGAGAATTCATTCACGCTACAAATRGTGGCRTTACAACTAGAGTGTTCATCTGAATTATCTCCACAGTCATCTTGCCTATCGCACTCGAACTTCTTGCGAATACAYCGRGAGTTATTACATCGAAATAATTCATCACTATCGCATCTGTCAGGAGGTAGAGTCGCTGTGTTAATGAATAAAARATGGCAGTTAGTATAACATCATGCTACATGACGCAAAATGAGGTAAATCTGACTCTATTTGCTTTTATTTTCATAAAAACCAAAAAATTACAAACAAAGTTGACATGAAAAGGGCGAAAAGAAGTTAAAAGGATATAAACAGTAAAACCGAATTTTTGTAAGTGACCTGTGAACTGGCTGTACGTGTATTTTAATATGATAACTATTTATGTTTGATTTAACTTGATTCATCATGGAGATGAAATTCCTTGTCTTTAAATAATTGAAACTAGAGGTAAACTAGTGTGAGCTGCGTCGGCATTTCTCAAGAAACAGTTGGGTGTGAAATGGAATGAAACTTGTCTAAAAGTCAAGACTCAAATTATTTAATCTCAAAAATAACTACTTAATTGCTAGTAAAAACTTCAAACTAGTAGAGTRATTTTTATTGGAGGGAATAGTTTCCAATAAAGGAAAACCACAATAAAATTAGAGCCTGCATCGTTTGTAGGGTTAGTTGCTCTTTCCCTGTCCAATGAAAATCACTCTATATTATTGCTTTCATTCTATTACYAGTGATTCAAAACTTACGACAATTCATTTCATCTGAGCCACGTGGACAGTCTTTATCACCATCACAAATCCAACTACGATGAATACACCGACTACCATGATGGCAACGAAATTGAYCCRGAGAACTAGTGCAGTTTAAGGAATAACAATTCATCTCATCGCTGCCATCTTTACAGTCAACATCACCATCACAGCGCCAAATTCGTGGAATACAGCGTCCATCATTGCAATCGAACGTCAATGGTGGACATGTAAGATCGCCTTAACAGAATAATGAGATAGTATACAGTGCATTCAGGGTCATTTGTTTTTTACAAATAGCAGTGGATTTTAAAAATCCATACACAATATATGGAGTAATAGCTTAAAATACAACTGGCCTTTGGACTAGTTAGTCATATAAGAATATTTTGCTGAAAATGGCATATCAAATGTACTGGACCTAATGTATGCGCTTTCCAAGATTGGCTTTCTTCATAATGCTATCACTGAAGTCAAGGGTTCGAATCCCACCGGCAAATCGATGTAGCGCTCAATCCGATATTTATAATTTATATATTGCCGTTTTGATACATCATTTACAAYCATGAAACGCTGAATATTAGTAGGACTTGACACGTTCAAAAATTAAGATTCATCAATAGGATTTTGTGGCTAGTGCCTCGGAACGAGTCTCAAGCCACTATGCCATCGCCTGGGTGAGTGTGTATTCATCATTAGATTGCATGAGTTTCTTACCACAGTCTTTCTCGTCAGATTTATCCAAGCAYTGAGCGGWACCATCACAAACCCAGCTGTCCGGTACACACTGTCCATTATTACATTTAAACTSATCTTTCGTACAGTTAGTYTGGGACAGGCAATTCAACTCATCGGAGAAATCAGGAAGGTTATTTCTGGAACAGTCGTAGTTTCCATCGCATCTCATSAKAGGAGAGATGCACTCTTTGCTTAMGCGACACTGGAAGAGRCCACGCTGACAAGTCGTTATAACAGCTACAAAAGAAGATAAATACAGTAAGATATGTTTTTTCCGCTTTAACTAATGGCCCTAGTTAATTATGACGCCATTCTATTGTTTTAACGCTAAGGATTATGGTCGTCAGAGAGGGTCAGTTAGTCAGGGTGACTGCATATCAAATAAAATGTACATTAGCAATCATTTATACATGATATATACGTGCCCTTTTAATAAGTCCCGCGGTATTGTTTTCTCCGCACTTGACGTCAAATTTATTCTTTTGACATTTTTACAATACAAAAGGAATTCAAAAGAATAAATTTGACGTCAAGTGCGGAGAACGTAATGCCTCGGGACTTATTAAAAGGGTGTATATCAAAACACTATTCAATGAGTTCTACTTTAGGAGGTAATATAAATAGATCAAAATTTCCACTGTTTTTGGGCATGGTTTTTCGATGTTAACCGCCACTCTGACGTCATAATGAAATAGGTCAATTCCAACTTGGACTAACTAAATTACAACTTGCAGGAATATAAGAATTAGACGTTTTGTGACATTGATTGACATCTTGTGACAAGATGATTATCTCTTCATATAGCTMTTCGTACTTGATC